GACCGTCTCACTGTTTTTTGCTGACAAGAATGAGAAAATGTGCAGATGTCAAAAGTTGACAAAAAAGTAACAACGAGTATGTTCAGTGAGAGACACTTTTAGTATTTTCTGCATAGTTTAAATTTCAGTAGTGAGTAGATGGATATATATATAGATAGATAGATAGATATATAGATAGATAGATAGCTCGATAGATAGATCGATCTATAGATGCTAGCTGATCGATAGATAGATAGATCGCTCGCTCGCTCTCTCGCTCGATCGCTCGCTAGCTCGCTAGCTCGCTCTATCGCTCTCTCGCTCGCTCGCTCGCTCGCTCGCTCGCTCGCTCGCTCGCTCGCTAGCTCCTCGCTCGCTCGCTCGCTCTCGCTCGCTCGCTCGCTCGCTGCTCGCTCTCTCGCTCGCTCGCTCGCTCGCTCGCTCGCTCGCTCGCTCGCTCGCTCGCTCTCTCGCTCTCTCTCGCGCTCGCTCGCTCGCTCGCTCGCTTCGCTCGCTCGCTCGCTCGCTCGCTCGCTCGCTCGCTCGCTCGCTCGCTCGCTCGCTCGCTTCGCTCGCTCGCTCGCTCGCTCGTCGCTCGCGGCTCGCTCGCTCGCTCGCTCGCTCGCTCGCTCGCTCGCTCGCTAGCTCGCTCGCTCGCTCGCTCGCTCGCTCGCTCGCTCGCGCTCGCTCGCTCGCTCGCTCGCTAGCTCGCTCGCTCGCTCGCTCGCTGCTCGCTCGCTAGCTCGCTCGCTCGCTCCTTCTGTCGCTCGCTCGCTCGCTCGCTCGCTCGCTCGCTCGCTCGCTCGCTCGCTCGCTCGCTCGCTCCTCGCTCTCTCGCTCGCTCGCTCGCTCGCTCGCTCGCTCGCTCGCTCGCTCGCTCGCTCGCTCGCTCGCTCGCTCGCTCGCTCGCTCTCGCTCGCGCGCTCCTCGCTCGCTCGCTCGCTCATCTGTTCGTTGCTCCTCCCTGCTCTCTCTTTTTCCCGCTTCTGTTTCTCCCTCTTTTTTGAACTTTTTGTTTCTTTTTACTCTTGTTTGAACCACTTTTCAACCCTCCTTCTTTTTTTTTTTTTTTTAAATTACCCTCCTTTGTATTTCTCTCTCTATTTTTCATAACAATTTCATTTCATTTAACGGCCATATTCTGCACACCGCTCTACTCTTTATCAAACCCAAAGGTATTGGACCGTAATATCTAGAATCTGAACTATTTTTCTGATTATCTCCCTCGATCCAAACAAAACCTCGCGGAACATAATCTTCTGTTATGACGGAGGTGCTGGACGTAGTAGAGGCAGTAGTTTTCACTTTACCACCATCATTTGTTAAGCCATGAAGATCTGTTGGTGGCGGTGGTGGTGGCTGTTCTAAGATAACTTTATCACCCGGCAAACCCACCACTCGTTTACATATATATTGCTCGGGATTGGTGGGCGAAACAGCTATGATGATATCACCACGATTGGGTTTATGAAAACGTGTTGATATCCTTTCGGTGAGTAGAATATTGTTGGAGAAAAGTGTGGGTTCCATAGAGGGGCCACTGCACTGGAAAGAGAAACATTTAATTAATACAAATTAAAAGTGACATCTGTAAAAACTGTCAAAACTATTATTAAAACCTATTTTCCGCCTTTCTTTTAAATTTTTACTTGTCGCTTGTGGTTGCGGCAACAATTGTAAACAAGCACACTCCCTTACTACTCTTTTTGGCAATTTTACTACAATATTTACTTGTTCAAATAAAAACCAAGATTTTTGTTAAGAAATTGATAAATTTATATAAAATTCAAATAAATTTTCTTTGTTTTTAAGTAAAGTTTCTTAAAAATTATATTTACCACCACAAAATCACCAATGTATTCAAAAAAACAGTGGGTTACACAGGCATATTGTATGCTATATTTTAATATATCTTTTAAGTGAGAAAGCATGACTTTTTAAACTTATTTTTATACTCTCGATTACAAAAAACTTTTTTTTATATAAATAATTTAAATTTATTAAGATATTTGCTATTTTTTAGTTGATTTTGCAAGAAAATGTTATAATACAATGAAACCAATGAAAATTTGCCAAAAGATTAGAAAAAATGAAAACAAAAACAGCTGTTTTTGATAAGCTGTCAAGGGAAAGATATCATAGGGTGCGTTCAGTGTAGGTTTTGTATATAAAAGCAACAGTATATGTTTAGTGTGGTAGTTTAGTAAACAGAGTGGTTAATGTAAGCAAAAAACATATAAAACCGTTATTTTTAATACAAACATATGCTTATGAGTCATATATTAAACAAAACGTTACTTAGACGTTACTTTATTTCGAAGTTTTTTTTCATAAGAATTTAAACTTTTTTTAAGAAATTTTAATATATATAATAAAACAATGATAATAGTGGTTTAGTTTTATAATTTTTAGACATTTATTTGTTATTTTAATATATATTTCTCTGGTTTAAAATGCTTAATTTTCGTATATTTTTAAATTATATTAAAATAATTTTGTTGTGTTAACAATATTTCACACAATACTTAATTTTCTGTCGCACGATACTCCTTCTTAGCTACAAGACTAGACAATTTTAAATTTTTTTATATGAAAATTAGAAAAAATACAAATTTTGTTTCTACTACTTTTAATTAATTTAAAGTAAAATTATGTTTAATAATAATAAAAAATAAATTAAATAATAATAAAAAAAAACTACAAAATATAATTTGTAAATTAACAAAAAAATAATAATAAATAGTTATAGAAAAAGTATATAATATAGAATTTCATGTTTTCATTTAAATATTTTATAAATTACACTGGAATTATTTTAAGATTTAAAGGTTTTGTTTTAAACCTTTGCATTCTTGTTTGTTTACATTTAGATTAAGCTTACTTAGCTAAATAAAAGGAAATTGTTTTCTTTTTTTCGGATTTAACTTATTCCGAACGTTTGCTAGCCTCTTTGGCCATTTTTTCCAAACGTTCACGCTTGTCTACATTGGCCAAATCAATGCTGGCCACATAGGCATGCATGCAGCTGATCAAGGATTTCAATAAAGCAAAGGGAGCGGTAACAAATGCAGCCATTTTAAACAAAGAAACACCAAAAACTGTAATAAAAAATCGAAAAAAAAAAAACGAAAATCAATTATATAAAAGAAAAATTTGACTGAATATGGAAAAATATACTTACTTATGGGTCCCGTGGTAAAATGCAAGACATAAAGACTTATATAAAATGCTTCATTGACACAGCACATAAATGTTAAGACATCCTTTTGATAATACAAGCGCATTACTATGTTTTCACTTAAATCGGTGGCTTTGTGTGATGTTTTGCCCACAACAACGCTTCTGTTTTTAATAAGATGAAATAGGAATATGGAAAATTTATATCATTTTAATAATTTTTCGTTTTTACTTACGTTTGCATATACAGCCAGTGACAGGCTATATCTATGGCCATTGATAGTTGGAACCAAAACATATAGGAGGGATAGAAATAACTTAAGGTTACCAAAAGACCCATGGTACCACAACGATCGGTTAACTGATCCAGCATAGCACCGAAACGGGTGCCTGTAAGGAAAATAATACAAAGAATATGATAAAAATACAAATTTTAAATATTTATATATGTTTATTTAAGAAAATTCTAAGTTTTCATAACTTTTTTATAGATTTCATTCTTTCCATCTATTATTTTTGTATTTTATAATTTATTTGAAACAACCTGTTAGCATGCATTTATTTCAAAATGTAAACACAATAATGAGAGCAATACAAATGCATCATATTGTTTGAACGCAGAGAAAATCAAAAAAGATTAAAAGTAAATAAAAACGAATAATATAAATATAAACAATATTATAAATATATGTATATATATCACAAAATTGTTTATATTTTGGGCCAAAATAATGTAAAATTTTACAAAAAGAAATAAATTTTCCTCAAAATTTACATTTCTAAGAAATATATGAAACACCCTGTTAAGGCAAATTGCATGTTACCAAAACAAAGAGAGAGTAATCATAAAATTGCATTGTCAATTAGAAAGAGTTTATAGAATACATACAAACATATGCAAATAAGTATTGCAAACAAACAAACAAACAAATTTGTCTATGCACTTGTTTGATTAGTATAAATTAAAACAATAACAAAATATATACTAAGAAACAGTTAAACGAAACAACAACGTGAAAGAAAATAAACAACAATGAATGAGCAAAACAAAAATAAACACATACAGGAATGACGTCAATGAAAACAAAAACAAATTGGAAAATGTAAACAAATTGCAACAAATTTGTAATTAATTGCAATGATATTGGAAAATTTAGCAACAATTATATAAAATTTCAATAAATTTAAAGAAAAAATAAATAAAATTAAGAAGATTCAAAGAAATTAACTACAAATTGCAAAGAAATTGAATAATTTTACAAAAAAGTTTAAAAGAAAATTAGTTAAACAACTGCAGAGGAATAATTGAAACCATGGAAAAGAAATAAAGAAAATAATTAAAAATTTTATGCAAATTTATATAATTCAACAAAACTTTATAATTTTCTTGAAATATTTTACAAGTTTAGTAATACTATGGAAAATTATAAAGAAACATTAACCATTTAATAAAACATAGTTTTCATTAAACTTTGTTGCTATATACGGTATAGATTTTGTTTTTCAGAGCGTTAAGTTAATTTTCTTTGTTAAAATTTCTAGAATTGTTCTATAGATAACTAGTAATGACGTGATAGTTGGATAGTTTTACAGTATATGTACACACGAATAAGCTGTTTAAAGTTTAGTTAACACACCGGCGCTATTATCATTTATTGCTTTATGCACTTTAAGTATACACAATTGTATATTATATACCTAGGTACTTGGAAAAAATATCAAACTCATAAACCTATAGCTAATAAACTTTATGTTTTAAACACAAAGATTATTTTAAAAGTAAGCAACATTAAAATCAACCGATAGGCTTTTAATTTAACACTCTACATCTGCTTTGTTTGATTACCTGTAGCCGATAAGAGAGGTTTAATTACCAAACTACTTACTCTGATTAAAGGCTCGGGCAGCATGTCCGTCCACTGCATCTAATAATGCGCTTATTGCATAACACCAACCGGCCACTAAATAATTAGTGGACATAAACCAAAATGCTATTAAAGCCAAAACAATGCGGCAATAACCTAAAAATACAAACAAATAACCAACATAAATCAATATATAAGAAGAAAATTTTGCCGTCATCAAAATCAATAGCATTTAAACTTAAAGAATACTTAAAAAATTGTAGGTATACAAACAAACCCACCCCCTCCAATGCTCAAATACTAATTTAATTAGTAAACTTTGCCATTATAAACATTTTTTTTCGCATCACCTCCATAAACCTTCAAACTGTTAGAGTTTTTCCATATGTTGGCCTCAGTAAAACAATAACAATTTGTGGTTTTATTTGTTGATTTGTTAATATTTATTTAATTACTCACCTATTATATTTGGTATGAAAAGAAATATATTATCATGTTGAGCTATGGCCATTTTTACCAGCACACTATAAGCAAATAACCGGTGTTTTTTTTTTTCAATTTTAATAAATAATTTTCATTAAATTAACTTTTATTTGTGTTGTTTTTAATATTTTCCGCAAATTTTCTTTAAAACAATTTGCTTTAATTTCCTTTTGTAACTAAATTTTTTAATTTTTCTATATACGCAAATATTTTTATTCTTTATTAAGATTTTTTTGCTCTTTTGTATAGCAACAACAACACCACCTGACAGTTAAAATTCTAGAGAGAGACTAAAGCAAAGTAAATTTATAAAGTAGACTCATTTGAACAGCTGACTATTTTTTTTAAACTTGCTATTTGTGGACTTACTTGTCAAAAATGTTTATGTTGCCATATTTGTTTTCATTTTAACGCTTGCTTTTGTACAAATTTCTGAGTAATTTGTTGTATTTAATGTGAAAAAGTGTATTTTAAGTGTATAATATTTTTAAAAATGTTCTAATTTTTAAAAAATAAAGAAAACTCTGTGACTTTTAATATAAATAACAACATATTTTTGGAAGGTACAACAATAATGCCATATTTTCCATTAATTATTGGTTCATTTTTGTAAACAAATTTTGACAAGTGAGTATTTCGAACAAAAACAAATTGCCTGTGGTTTTTGTAGACGTTTGTTGTACAACAACTCGTGTCGCTACTTTATTAATTTACTTTGGACTAAAGTCAAAAGAATAACAGTATTGCCAAGGGTAATGAAAAATATAAACGCTGCTTACCAGGGAAAAACGCTTGTGTGTAATAAATCGAAAAATAAGCGATTTTTATCGTTCTTTTTACAAATTTATTTTAAATTTGTAGAAATGTTGAAAAAATACAAATTTAATAAAGAAATTTTATATAAATTAGGAATAATGAATAAAACAAACTAAGTTTTAACTAGCAACACTGTTCACATTAATCAAATGATGTATATAAGGCTGCCGTATAATTTAAAACAATAGCAAAATACCATTTTTAAAGCTGATTTTCTGCTAAAATACAATTTAATTTAATACAAATTGTATAATATAATTAAATACAATATATTTTACACATTTTTTTATATATTTTATAAATCTATCAAATATTTAAATTAACAGTTTTTAAATTTTTTAAATTGACTATACTGCTGCTAGAATGAAATGCTCGAAAACTATACAAAGTTGTATTTTTTGAGTGGGATTTCTTTCAACCCTTAAAATTGCAGACAAAAACAGTCTGGCAATAAACGCCAAAAATAAACAAGCCAAGTGGAACATAGAAATCTGAGCCGGTTTGGCTTAAAGCTGACTACGCCTAACCGCCGAAAGAAATTTCAAAGCCGGCGCTGGGGAATATTTTGCATTAAGAATATATCAAAGGTATGTTTTATTATTCTATATTTTTGAACACGCATATTTCAGACGGTAAGTTCTTCAAAAAATATCGAAATTTCTTATACCTAGTGTCTAAAAAAACTAAGTGTTTGAGTTTTATATACAAAAATATGGTAAACATATATATCAACAATGATTTTACCTACATTTGACATAGCAGAATATTGTGTTTTTATAATGAGTTGTATTAAGTTACTATTTTTTAAAATAATTGCTTTTCATATTCCACTTTTTAACATTCGGATTCCATTTTTATATAATATCGTTGAAATTTTTAAAAACACTGCTGAAAACTTAGCCGGCTTATAGTTGATTTAAAGACGCCTCCAAAATGTTTTATGGCAGCCGCCGCCGTCGTTAATGTTTGTCGGCGTAGGTATCTACTGGAAAAACAACAAAAATACACAAGAATTTTCCCCAAAAAAGCTGAAATAAGATTTTTTATATACAACGCGCGTTTAAATTGAAATAAAATTGGAAAAATACAAAAAAAGTGTTAAAAGTTGAAGTGAAAATAGTTCTGAATGAAGAATTGTTATTCGAGGATAATAAAAGATAAAAAATTTTATTTATAATAAAGAAAATAATAAAAAACAGGTGAATTCCAAAAAAATGCAACAACAAAATTAAATAAAGAACAGTGATCATAAATAGTAATCTTGATAAAGATAGTTTTGTTTATTTAGATAAAAAAGAAAGAAAATAATAATTTAATTACAAGTTTTATAAAAAAAATTAAAGAAAAAGTGAAAAAAATTATATGTATATTTGCCTAAATACACAACTTAATTGAAAGCGTCTGGAGTCTGCAATTCTTTCTTTTTCTTTTTTGTGAGTTTTTGCAGCCACCGTGTTCCTCTTGGCCTGAGTGTATGTGTGTTGTGTATGTATGTGAGTGTTTGTTTTATTTTAACTCTAAATTTTTGCTTATTTTACTATCTATCCCTTATTTTCGATTTCGCTCATACATATAATTTTACTTAGCAACCATAAGCTTAGACACAAAGACTTTATTTAAAAAAATATTCATATACCTATATAAAAACTCCCAAAAACCACCCACTTTTTCTAAAGCATCCAGAGAGTTGAAAAAAAATTATCCCTACAAACTGCAAATGACGCCCTCTCTAAACAGCCGTTTTGCTCTTTAACTTTATTTTAAGTTATATTTTATTGCAGTTACTTTCTCTATCCTTTCTTATTCTGCTTTAATTTTCTTATTGTTTTTTGTTATTATTTTGTTTAATTATTTTTTCATATATTTTGCTTATTCTGCTTTATTATTGTTGTTGTTGTTTGTGTAGTTTAAATTTTTGTTTATATTTGGGTTTTTCTTGTTTTGTTTACTTGTTTCTTTTCAAATGCTTCTTTGCGCTCTTTTTTCTTTTTGCTCTGTGTACAACAAGCAAGAGGCTGCCATGTTGGTTTGTTTACAAAATCGATAATAAAATAAGGCTGCCAGATGATTTGTTTAAACAAATGTTAACAGTGGTTGATTTTTGTTATAAAAAACAATAATTTAAATTAAATAAGTTCAAAAATATAAAATGTATAAAAATTATTAGAAAATGTATAATAAATTATAAGATTTAAAACAAAAATTAAGAGAAAAATCTTAAAATTTATAAGAAAGCGTTTGCCATGTTGGTTTGTTTACAAAATCTTTAATAAAATAAGGCTGCCAGATGGTTGTTTTATAATAATGTTATTAGTGGTAGATTTTAAAGTATTTTGTTTGTTAAATTAGCTAACAAAATAAGTCAAATTGTATAAAATTTGTAAAATTTATAAGATTGAGAAGAAATTAAGTAAAAAATCTTTAAATTTTTTTGAAAAAAAAAAGAATTAAAAAAAAATTAACTGAAATATTAGTTTTATTAGAAAAAATATTTAAATAAAAATAATAAAAATTATTAAAAAATTTAAATCTTTTATGTGAATTTGACAATCTTTATTAAATTTATGTAATTTTTAAATTTTTTTTAACCTTTTTCTATTATAAAAATTTGCTTTATCTCCTTTATGAACTTTTGTTACAGTTTTTCGTCCTATTTTCTATTACATATATATTTTTTATCACATTTTTAACTCTTTTTTATTTTCACCTCTCAAATATAAATCTTTTTTTATATAAAAAATAAAATACAATGACACCAACCAACCAACTACTTCTAAATGAGGTCTATACTATATCAATAGACACTAACAAAAATAAGTAAAAAACATCTAGGGATCTACGACACTTGTTTAAAAGAGTATGTGGTTTATTGCAACAAATAACAACAAATGATGACAACAAAAACCATAAAACATGTGTGAGTGTGGTTTGAAAAATACATAACGAAAAACCTTTAGAGAAATATGATACTTTAAAAAAACAGCTTTAAAATATTCAAAATTTTTAACTTAATTTAACAACCAATAAGAATTTTTGAAGAAAATGTTAAATTATTTTTAAAATAAAAATATTAGAAATTCGAAGAATATTTTATTATTTTTTTATCACGTTACAGTGAAAAATCGCTTTAATATTGAGATTCATTGTTATTTTGTTTTTGAAAAATATTTAAAATTATTTAGTAGCGAATTTTTGTTTACACGAAATCATTAAAAACACAAACATCTGGCAGCTCCTTTCGAAAAATTACTGTTCATTTATAAGGCTGCCAGATGGCAACAAATTAAAAATTACATTATTGAAATGTTTTCTGCCTGAAAAATTCTTTAAATCTTCTACAGAAACTTGAGGAATAACCTATTCTTTTAAGAAATATCGAAACTGTAAAACCTATAGGTTTTCTGAGGTAGTTTTAGGAATTTAAGTTCTGTTCTAGTTCTGTTCTAGTTGTTCTAGTTCTGTTCTAGTTCTGTTCTAGTTCTGTTCTAGTTCTGTTCTAGTTCTGTTCTAGTTCTGTTCTAGTTCTGTTCTAGTTCTGTTCTAGTTCTGTTCTAGTTCTGTTCTAGTTCTGTTCTAGTTCTGTTCTAGTTCTGTTCTAGTTCTGTTCTAGTTCTGTTCTAGTTCTGTTCTAGTTCTGTTCTAGTTCTGTTCTAGTTCTGTTCTAGTTCTGTTCTAGTTTTGTTCTAGTTTTGTTCTAGTTCTGTTTTAGTTCTGTTCTAGTTCTGTTCTAGTTCTGTTCTAGTTCTGTTCTAGTTCTGTTCTAGTTCTGTTCTAGTTCTGTTCTAGTTCTGTTCTAGTTCTGTTCTAGTTCTGTTCTAGTTCTGTTCTAGTTCTGTTCTAGTTCTGTTCTAGTTCTGTTCTGTTCTAGTTCTGTTCTAGTTCTGTTCTAGTTCTGTTCTAGTTTTGTTCTAGTTTCTGTTCTAGTTGTTCTAGTTCTGTTCTAGTTCTGTTCTAGTTCTGTTCTAGTTCTGTTCTGTTCTAGTTCTGTTCTAGTTCTGTTCTAGTACTGTTCTAGTTCTGTTCCAGTTCTGTTCAAGTTCTGTTCTAGTTCTTTTCAAGTTATGTTGTATTTCTAGTTATATTCTGTTCTAGTACTGTCCTAAAGAAGTTGGGGAAACTTCAAATTCTCGTCAAGAAGTTTCAGTAATTTTTCTAAAGTATTTTAAGAAATCCTCAAAGGTAGCTTTGTCTGAAAATATAATTCTAATTGTACAAATTTAGAAAGTGTCATCTCTTTTATTTTGCCAGATTGTTATCGATTTTCCTACTCACTGCACTAGTTTATTTGAGGGGTAAACAAAACAAATTTACCGCTATGGGTTCATAATTTGCTAAAGAGCGAGGTAGAAGGGGCCGCCAAAAACAAGGCAGACTTCTGTTAGGTGTTAATTTTAAAATATTATTTAATTTTAAAGAAAATCGATACAAAAAACTAGCAGCAAAAAAATGTGTTATGTTAAACAAGAAAAGTAGTAAGGAATTATTTGAATTGTAGAGAAAAAACACTAGTAAATCCAATTAACCAAAAAAGAACACCGAGAAAAACATAGAAATAAACGAAATACATTATAAAAACAACAAAAATTTAAACTTTTGAACCTTTCTCCCAGTTTTTGTTATTTTTCTATTTAGTTTTTCCCAAAACATCGGCAATAAAAAACTCTCAGACTGCACTTGCAGCAGCAGAAAATTTACCACCCATTCCAACAAACAACAACAATTTTATAGCTAGAAGAAAATTGTTTTTTTTTTTGTTTTGTGAACAAAATAAAAACAAAAAACTTAAGAAAAATATTCGCATGAATGAAAATCCCTACTCATTTCCATTGGTTTTGTAGTTGTTATTATTGTTGCTACTTCTTGCTGCTATAAACGAAGAGTACAAAACAAGAAGCAGAAGCAGCAATGTTAATAATAACAACAACAGTTTTGACTGACAGCACATACTTGCAATCTTTTTCGTACTCACTTAACAGGGATGGAAAGTTTAGCAATATTGTAATTAAGGAAACAAAAATAAATGACAGCAAGTGTATTGTTATTCGATATTTATAATATTTTGATATTTATGATATTTTGAATTTAATAAATTAAAGACAAATTGAGACAGACTATAGAAAAAATAATAAATTAATTAAATATTTAAACAAAAATAAATAAAATTAAACAAAATTAAAGAAAAATTTGATATCAAATTGATATATAGACAAAAATTTGTAAAATTACAAAGTTTCCAATGAAAAGAATAATAGAACATGTTTCTCACTAGATTGCTGCATTATTTTCTTCCGAAATCTATAATTTCCCATCCCTGTGGAGCTACAATATTGCTTGTGCCGATAACACAACACATAACAGCCCCAGTATCGTATTATTTGCTGTTAAACACCTCAGCCAGTGCGCGTTTGGCATTCGTTAACGTTAGAGGTGTGTGTGAAAAAATATAACTGATAAAAAAAGCATATAAAATTCTACTTTTTTTCTTAAACTCAGCAGAAATTTCTTACAGAAAAATTAAAGAAAATTTTTAAGAAAAAAAAATATACTCTAAATAAAATTTAAAACAAATGCTAGAAAAACAAAAAGCTAAAATTTTAATTAATTAAAAAAAAAAATAAAAAAGCCAACAAGAGCCATGGCTGCTTTACCTTTAACTTTAGATACTAAAGGTGTTAATGAAACCTTAAATCTAACAAATCCTTTAACACCACCACATTTAAATGATTCATCGTCAAGTATTAATGCCGCCGCATCTTCAGGCAATGACATTATGACAACACCAGAACGTCCCTCTAATTTAATAATCGAAAAAACACCACCACAACAACTACAACAGCAACAACAACATTCCATTACTACACCAAGTAGTAATCTATCACCTGCTCTTAGTTTAGCTGGCAGTTTATCGCCATCAACTTCAACATCATTTCTACCCGAGATGCCACAATGGAAACGTGACCTCATACAAAGACGTAAACAAAATGTACAACGTACAATAAGTGCTTCATCACCATCACCAACAGCCTTGTCATCAACATCGCCAACAACATTGGCTCTGGCTCTTGGCGGTTTAAAAAACTCTATATCTTCATCATCTGTGCGTTCATTAGCCGGTAGTAATACTAATATTGACCAACTTGCATCAGGTGAGTAGTGGTAAAACAGCTAACCAACAACTTTAGTAGTTAGCAGAAAAAAAAGTTTTTTTAAAAACAATAGTTGTTTGGTTTTCTAATCAACAAACGAAGAGTTTTGTTTTAAAAAATATAGGAGATTTCGAAAATTGGAGTTTTTTGTATAAAAAAACAGGAAAATATTAAAGATAGTTTAGACTGAAGAGCGCATTAGAGTCAATACTATAAACTAGACTATATACCAGAATATAGACTAGACTCTAGGCTAAAGTCCAAGTTATAAACCAGATTATAGAATAAACTGTACTCTATACTATAGACTAAACTATAGCCAAAACTATAGTCCAGATCATTGACTAAACAATAGCACAGAGCATTGACTAAGCTATAGTCCAGACTATAGATTAAACAATAGTCCAAACTGTAGACTAAACTATAGTCCAAACTATATACTGAACTATAATCCAGACTATAGAACAAACTATTGCACAGACTATAGACAAGACTGAAGTTCAGACTGTAGTCCAGACTATAGAATAAAATATAGTTTAGACTATAAGTATAATAAACTATAGTCCAGACTATTGCCAAAACTATAGTCCAGGCCATTGACTAAACTATCGTCCAAATTATAACTGTAGTTCAGACTATAGACTAAACTATAGACCACATTATATTCTAAACTATAGTCCAGACTACACTTTATTCCGGACTATAGACTAAACTTTTAGATTATATAGACTAATCTATTGTACAGACTGCAACCTATTCTATAGTCCAGACTACAAACTAGCCTATAGTTCAGTTTGGGTTATTCCATAGATGTTTTAAGAAACTTAAATTCTTCCATGGAAGGTGGAGGAATCTCAAACTTGTATAATGAATTTGAACGAACCTCAAACTCTTCTATAGACATTGGGGGAACCTTAAAATCTTCTATAGACATTAGTAGAACCTCAAAATCTTCTATAGACTTTCGCAGAACCTTAAACTGTTATACAGAAGTTTATGTAACCTTTAACTCTTCTATGGATGTTGGGGGAACCTTAAAATCTTTTGCGGAAGTTTAAGAAACCTCAGACATTTCTATAGAAGTTTGGGAAACTGCAAACTCTTCTATAGATATTTAGAGAATCTCAAACTTTTCTGCAGAAGTTTAGGGATACACAAACTGTTACAGAAAAGTTTAAGTGATCTCAATATATAGAAGTTTAAGGAAACTCAAACTTATCTATATATGAAATTTCAAATACTTCTATAGAACTTTAGGGAATCTTTAACTATTCTAAACGTTGGAGGAATCTCAAAAGGTTCTATAAAAGTTGGGTGAACCTCAAAGCTTTCTGTAGAGGTTAGAGGAACCTTAAAATCTTCTGTAGAAGTTTAAAGAGCTTCCGATTTTTCTCTAGAAATTGTAGGAACCTTAAGCTCTTTCATGTTTTTAAGTTGTTTTTGTCCTAACACCTCATATCTGTTGACTGGTCTTGCAAATCAAAACATAAATACATTTTTAACTAAAAATGTATGTACTGGCACATACTATATATTTATTTATCTATATGTATATGAAGTATACAACCATTATTTAGTTGGCAGTTCAATACATTTTGTTCGTTAACTAATCATACTTCAAAATATATACATATGTATGTATATATATGTATGTTCATATATTTATTTTGTGTGGCAAATACGAAAATATTTCAAGCTTAAATGCAGTGTGCAGGATGGAAAAACAGTGGGATGACTAGAGACTTTTATTAAAATTTTAAATTTTTTGAAATATTTTTGAAAGTATTTTTTTTTTGTTGAAAAAGTAAACATTTCAGAATTATTTGAAAAATTTGTTTAAATATTTATGTTTTTCTGATGTATTGCTGTTTGAACCCACTGTTTTGAAATGGTTGTTATATTTTTGGTCGTCCATCAATGTTGATGTTTGCTGCAAATTCAATTAGTGTTGATCTTAGACAGTTTCATTTCCATACATGTTTTGTTGTTGTTTATTTTTGCAGTTTACAAACATTTCCAATATTTCAATTTAGTTTATTTTGATTTGGTTGTTTATTGAGCGAATAAGAAAAACAAACTAAATTATTTAGCAAATATCCTGTAAAATTGAATAAAATACAAATGTAGGGGTTTGCTATTTTCACTGGGGAAATGTTAACATCTTATGGTGAATTGTAAAAGGAAATTTTTGTTGTTTAATGAAAATAACAAGAAATATTTACATGAAATTATCATAAATTTAGTTATTATTTAGATTTTTTTATTATTTTATAGATTTTTACTTAAATAATTAAAGTATTTTGATAAATTTTAATCAATTTAAGCCAAAATAACGTTATTTTACCTCTAGTCACTTTTTTACGCCTTTTTCCGGCAAAACACCTTCATTGTTTACTTACTTCTATATGGCATCCTTTTGCAGGCAAGCAGTGACATTTTGTTTTTCCACTCTCTCTATAAAGAGTTGTCATAATAAACTTTTACTTGCTAATGTAGCGTTTTTAGTTTTGTTATATAAAACAAGAGATTTTATAGGATTTTCTTACTTTCTTGGTAATTTATTATACTTTTCTTTATAAAAACCCCCATTTCTTACCACTCTGCAGTTTGTTTTCCTCTATTGCTTTTTCTTTTGCAGATTTTGTTCGTTATTTCTTTGGAAAAATGCAATTAACTATAATTATGACTTTAAACTTTATTTTAAAAAAAAAAAAACTAAACTAAAATCCAGTTATGTAGATATGACAAGTTTATTTTGCCATTTTTTTTTTTCCTTTACTCTTTGTTATTGTTATTTGAACTACAAACTGTTGAAAAATGCATGTTAGTTTATTAAAAATGTAAAAGGAATTATGTTAACTATTTGGAAAATAATGTCTTGTATAATAAATAGAAATAATTATGTATGGAAAAAAAGTAAACTCTAGGCTAAATGTTTAAATAATATGTAGTTTGCTTTGTTCAGGTTTTCTTTCCTTAAAATGACTTTCAAAGAGATTAAATAATTATGTTTTAAAGTGGATTATTTCGCTTTGTGTTTGTTAAGACTTCATTTGTTTAGCCATTGATTAATAATGTAAAATTTTCAAAGTGATTAAACCATAAATTGTTAATTTTTTATATAAAATTTTAATTTTTCTTAGTATTTAAGTTTTAACGATTTAAAAGGGGAAATTGTAGGAAAACTGTTTAAAACTGTCTTATTGAAGTTTAAGGATGCTCGAAAGTGTTATATAAAAGTTTGAGAAGTTATAAACTGTTCTATAGAAGTTTGAGGAACTTTAACTGTTGTATAGAAGTTTGAAGAAGCTCAAACTGATTTTTGAAAATTGAAGAACCTCAAACTATTCTAAAGAAGTCTGAGTATTCTAAAGAAGTTTGAGGTTCTAAAGAAGTTTGAGAAACATTAAACTATTCTAAAGAAGTTTGAGGAACTTCAGACTGCTCTAAAGAAATATGAGGAACCCTAGACTGCTCTAAAGGAGTTTGGGGAACCTTAGACTGCTCTATAGAAGTTTGAGGAACCTCAAACTGCTCTCTAGAAGTTTGAGGAACTTCAAACTATTCTTTAGAAGTTTGAGGAACTTCAAACTATTCTTTAGAAGTTTGAGGAACCTCAAACTGCTCTATAGAAGTTTGAGGAACCTCAAACTGTTCTATAGAAGCTTGAGGTTATTAAAAATGTTCTACAGAAATCCAAGGACACTTTTCTTTTTAAAATTTAAGGAAATTTTCCATTTCTCTTATTAAAATTTATTTATATTTTTATTTTTTGTTGAAAATTTTATATAATTTTTTGGTTTTTTTTCATGCATTATCTCATTATTGAAAATATAAAACAAATTAATAATACTTGTTATTTTGTTTATTTTGTTGTTCTTATCTGTCAAAATTTTCTTGTTAAAACAAAAATTGTAGAAAAATGAATTGGTTTTTTTTTCAACATATTACTTAACATATATCAATTATTGCTTTTTGTCAACAAATTTGTTATCTTAAACACCTGCACTTTTTGAGTTTTTTTTTTTTTTAGAAAAGAACTTTAAACATTTAAATTTCTTAAAGAGTTAAGACTTGTGTGCATAATACTGAACAATCTTTAATTGTTAATAAATAATAATTAAAAGTTTAATGATAATTTATAAATAGTAATTTTATTATAAAAATAAAAATAGTTTTTCTTTGAGATAAAGAATGATGATGTTTAATTAAAAGTAATTAATTTTATAAGAAATAATATATTTTTCATAAAAAACACAATTATGATAAGAATGGTTTCTTTTAAAAGAAAAATAAGAATAATAACAATTCTTTACTTTAATTTTATAAAATTAAATAAAATAAAACTAAATGCCAAAATTAAGGAATTGTAGAAATTTCAATTAGAATAAAAACATATTGATTACATTTTATATTATAAATATTTAAAAAAAAATTTAGAATTTATCATGATTTTTGTTACATTAACAAGACATTTTATATATTTCTATATTTTTTTCTTTAAATAAAAGGAATTTTTACAATTTTTAACGAATTCAAGCTTAAATAACTTTATTTTATACTCAAGCGTGTTTTATTGAAATTTTGCCTAAAAAACTAGTGGTTAACACTGTTTGTTTACTTACTAGAGATGGCATCCTTTTGCAGGCAAGCAACTGACATTTTGTTTTTATTCTCCCATTCTAAGGAGTTGCCATATATTACTATTGTGGTTAATATAGCGGTTTTGCTTATATAACGAGTAGTTATGTTTGTTTTAAGATTTCTTTTGGAAATAACTAAATATTTTCACTTTTTCTTAAAGAAATATTAAAATTTAAGATTGTTATTGTTTTTTAAAGCTTGCCTTCCCCTTTATAGAACAATTCTTCTCAAAAACCAATAACGGTAAATTGGAAAATAAATAATAATTACATTTTTTTGTGCTAAATGTTGATAAATGTTATTTTCACAAAATTTTTGCGATAACAAAAACAGCCAGAGTTAAACAAATAACAACAATTTAAGAGAAGGAGTGTTTGGGAGGGGTGTTTT